AGTAGTAATATATTTAATTCAGTAACTAGATAAAAATAAGATTTAAATAAGAGTTAATGAAACGTATTATGAATAATACGTTTATCTGTTACTGTTATTAATGAACTTTTTACACACCAGCAGGTTTTACGTTTTCTGAATGCTCTGGATTCATCAAATCATAGCATGAAGTACATATACGATATGAAGATTTGATGGGTTTTCCGTTTCCAGACAGAGTAACCACTTGATCTGATGATATGGTACGTTCTCTTGAACACTCATAACATACTAATTGACCACATCGCCTAATTTTCATTTCAAATAAATAAATTTAATTATATAAAAATTGAATAAGATTAATTATTAATTATAATTATATAAAAATTGAATAAGACTAATTATTACCATCTACCAACCTGCAATGATGCCTTCTTCTAAGCAAGACATTAAACGGCTTTTGGCACCTACGACATTCTTTTGCATCATCATCATTCTCCCATTTTCCTATATAAAGTTACACAATTATATAAATTTTTCTATTTAAAAAAAAAATTTAGTTATTAAAATATTATTTACCTTCAAAATTTTCTGCTGATGAAGTACAACAAGTATTTTCACCAGGTTCAATATTTTCGGTTGATGAAATATCATGATTAGTTACAATCGATGAAATGCCATAAGTTTCGTCAGAATTGATAATTTCATCCGTTTCAATATTATGAATCGATGAAGAATCATAAGTATTTTCGACAGTTTCATTATTATCAATTGATGAAAAACCATGAGTATTTTCGACAGTTTCATTATTATCAATTGATGAAAAACCATGAGTATTTTCGACAGTTTCAAAATTATCAAAATTATCTATCGATGACGAATCATGGGTATTTTCGTCAGTTTCAACAATTGAAGAAATACCATAAGTATTTTCATCAGTTTCAACAATTGAAGAAATACTATAAGTATCATATGGCTCGTAAACACTGATGAATTCAATAGGTGTTTCGTCAGAAACACTTTCCAACTGATTTGAATATTCTGTTATTAATGCAAGGTTCACAGTATTAATAATGCGTTGCATATTACATTAAAGAAATTTGAATTTTCATGATATATCACATACTTTGTGTTAATTGCATGATTATGATTTAGGAGAGTGTCGGTACGAAAGTTTAGAATGAATCTAGATACGCTTTTAGAATGAATCAAAGTACGTTTTTAGAATGAATCTAAGTGCGTTTTTAGAATGAATCTAAGTGCGTTTTTAGAATGAATCAAAGTACGTTTTTATAATGAATCAAAGTACGTTTTTAGAATGAATCTAGATATGTACGTTTTTAAAACGAATCTAGATATGGTTTTTGAATGAATCTAGGTACAGTAATTCTGTCTTTTATATTTTTTTTTAGAATGAAATTTAGATAAAGCTGTCTTATAAACTTTTTGAACAAAGTCGTTTACATACGTAGCACGTTTTAAAGTAAATCTAGATAACATTTTCAGAATACAGTATTGATATGCATGATGATATAACACCAAATTTAAAACGTAAAAGTAAAACAAGGACATAGTTTTACAAATCAAGGTATTACTGTGTAGACGTTGCGAAAAATGGCGTACAATTTCATACATATCGGGCGGACGAAAAATAAACATCGGAATCAATGTCTCCTATATTCTGCGCAGTAGTACATGAGTGACTGTTATGTATCATATGCTTAACATAGATGTTACAATCGTGGGAAATTTTCTCCGTGATATCTCCGTGATATTTTTGCACAAATCTCTTGTCAAAAATCACAAGGGAATTTCATGTAACACCTTATTTAAGTAGAGCCAATTGGCATTACATACACACAAGTAATTCCCAAAGTTTTTTGTTAAAAACATTGCGCATAATGGTACACAAAATAGAGTAATGTGTGATTTTACGTAGTTAGTTACGCACTTACTATGTTTGAAGAACTTAATGGAATATTCGTATGTAGATCAATTCTATAGATAGTCAATTCATGGTTAAATAAAATTTCTATAATAGTATAATGAATGCGGAGAAATTATCAAATTAGAATAAACAAACAATTGCAAAAAAATTGATGATTATCTCTTTGTAAGAATTCCAGAGAAGGCAAAAAAAATGATTTGAATCAGGTAATGTTTATTATTTAAATGTTCAAACTATCCTTATTGATCCTTATTGGTCACAATCTCTGATATCATTCATTATGACTAGAATTTTGCATCTTTGCCGATTTTTGGTCAGAATGCATTTATTCCAATGTTTATTTTTCACGAATCAAATTGCTTTATTTCAAAATTTAAAAAATCAAGTAATTTGATTGGATCCGCACAAGTGAAAAATAAACACTCAATTATTCTAATGGAATTTTCTATCTTTACCGACTTTTGATAAACAATATCTCTTTTCAACATCAAAAAACGATAAAAAAAAAAGAAACTAGATCATGCACATTTGGCGACTCCGTAGTCAAGGTAGTATTAGGTGCACCTAATTTAAAAAAATAAAAAATTCGAACAATGCTGTAAATTGTGCAAGAAATTTAGAATTAATACAAATGAAATAAGCAATGGCAATAGTGTCTACGTATAAGAACGTAAAATGCAATAAAGTCAAATTGTAAACTTTCAAATCGACACATGCTCATTACGATAATTGTTGCCCTTTTTTGATCTAATGAATAGCTTGTCATACAATAGAAAACCTGGAACAGGTTGTGTTAACTCCGAACTCGGATTAATCGTTATATCGATAAAAATTACTATATTTATCAGTAAAAAAACTTCATACATATTAATTGTTTCAGATAAAAATAGCCTAAATGAAGAAGTGCAGTCTTTATTAAGAAAACCTTTTTGAACAACAGAATGTGGAACTTAAGAACATATCATTCTAGTCGCTGCTTCAATTTATAATAATAATAAACTAGAAAAACGGGATCCGTATGATGGTAGAGATTAATTATCTGCCTAAGAATATCACTATATATATATATATATATATATATATATATATATATATATATATATATATATATATATTTATATTTATTTATCTACCATAAATTCTCGAATAACGGGCATGGGCGCTATTTCAAAAATCGTTCCTTCTAAAAATAGTAGATTTGGTTTTGAAATAACGCCCATGCGTACCATGCGTGCCCATGCGTGTCCCGAATAACCTCATGATAATCGTGAAGAATATGCAGACAATTTTATGTTATCTATGTAAGGGTTTACCAATACAATAAAAAAAAAACCGCTCACATTTACACTATTTATGCTATAAAAACTTTTACTTATTATATCAATCGTGAAGATTCTTCACAGCTAGAAAAACCGATCTGTTATTTCAAAATAACGACCATGGGCGTATTCGAAATAACGCTCAGCTATCCAAAATAATGCGCAGATTCCCGTGGTATCGAGGATTTACAATAGTTTTATTTAATCCATGAGACAAAAATTCTTTATTAATTTGAATATTTAGAATAAGCTATTCAAGTTCATGATTATTCACTATTTAATTCAGTTTCTTTATAGCTTCATTTTAGATGTGGTAATTTAGTGCATAGGTATAAAGAATATTTATTAATTTAAGTATTTCAAAATAAGATTCAAGGTCGTAAATATTTATCATTTATATTTATTTTATTCACAATAATTTAGTGTGTGAATCCAAAAAACATTTATTGTTTGAATTAAGCGAGCTCATGATATTTTAAAGATTGTACCCGCCGAAAAATTTTCTACCCGGGTATTATTGAATTACTTGGTTATTAGGTATTCTCAAACGCCTTAATTAATGGGCCAAAAAGAGTCCCTGAATAAATTTACTTAGCGGAAAATATTTAAGCAGGCCAAATGCGTTTTCATCGTGATGAATAGTTAAATAATAAATGTGATTTGATAAAGTCTATTATGCGAATACAATATTTTATTAGCAAGAAACGTTAAGTTTGTCATTTCAATTTACAACCATTTTATTAGCAAGAAACGTTAAGTTTGTAATTTCAACCTATAAACATTTTTCTGCGAACCATCTTTTTTATACACCTGACTTGTCAAAATTTACAATCAAATAAGTCAAGTACTTTACCATGGATCCAAATCTCATCATCAACGAATTATTTTTTTTTTTATGCAATAAAATTTACTATTTGGTCAATAATTTCTTCACTTCATACAAAATTCAAATATCAACAAAGACTTAAACCTACTACAGTACTGGCGACAACATTTGATAAATAATGAATCTTTCAAGTATCAATTGCAATTTTTATTTTGATTGATTATCACGTTTACTAGATAAACGCATAGAGAATAACGTTTAAGAAAACTTTGATTACATCATAATTTGCATATTTCAATTTGTCCACAAAAATTTTATATAACTATAATTGTAGTTGTGCATTATTACAATCACTAGCTAATCATATCGGGATTGAGGTTTGAGAACACCCTTATTACTGTATTATGGCATATAATCAAAATTCTTGATGTCATTTTATTTAAAAAATATTAAACTATTCAATTTCACAAATATTAACTATTTATAAAATACAATTAAGCATTAAAATAAGCTATTTAGCTTCCCAAATATCATTTTATTTCATTGGCATATAATAATATATAAAATCTATAAGTATAAAAACGGATGTTTTACCTAATGATTTAAAATAAGTTATATATATTAAAGTTCATTAGTTGATGAAAAATCTGATGCATGCATTATGCAAGACAGTACGAATAAAATATGGTACAGCCGATACTGTTTAAATGCATAATAATAATGCAGTACTGCATATCGTTTAAATGCATAATTTTTTAAAAAAACTTAATAGTAACCTGAATGTCTTAATGCGCAGTAACTGCATAGTAACTATGCAGTTACTATTAACTTTAATAGTAACTATATAGTCGTTATGCAGTTACTGTGCATTAAGATATTCAAATTTCTATAAAGAATATGCATGCAGTACTTGATTGGTTTAATGCATAAAATTAGCCTTTTCTGATAGTATGCATTCCTTACTCATGATCATGTGATTGTAATTATAGAAATATTTCGATAGATGTTGATGAAACTAAATAATGCTGGTGAAACTGGTGACTATCTAAAATCGGATTGGTTGTTATATTAAATTTCACCAGTTTCATCAGCATTTATGTTGTCTATTAATCTGTCCAATAATAAATTCGATAATAAAAAAAAAAAAACAGAAAAATGAGAATCGTACATGCGTATAACTATTACAGTACACCACATTCTCATATATGGGAATATTGACCGGGCAAAATTGAATTTCACTATAAATGGCAGTAGAATTATGCATTTTTGCATATTTGATACTTCATAATCATCTATTGAAAATTTTTCATCAATGTTTCTAATTGGCGTTACATAAGTATTACTAGTACCGTAATAACATGTTTTAAGTCCAACCTTATCACTAAGCCCAAAATTAAAAAACACGGACCACGATCTCGGTAATAAGAAATTGCATTTGAGCACTCAACTACACGACTAAGAATAGATTCTTTCATATTGTCATTTTTTAGATAAAAAATAATGCTATTAGGTGTATCTCCGCTTCCACCGTTTTTAACGTTGCTAGCTTTCCAGCCAAGAGGATTATATCCACCAAGTATTTCATTTGAATTTTCAACTTTAAAAACAACTATCGTGTCAGGTATATTATTACATAATTTATAAAATATTTTGGCATCGAACCCATCCCTATTACCTCTATGGAATTTCTGTAATATTATAGGTTGTTGAACGTCGATCAATCCAGGAAGAAATTTCTGCAGCATGCTCTAAATTGATTATAGAAGAAAGTATTGATATTGATTTTCGAGGAGGAAGTTGAGTTGATAATTTTTTGCAAGGAGGTAAAATTGTAGAAGTAATAAGCTTATCTGGAGATATAGGTTTCGTAATAATATCATTCCACAAATTTTTTTCAAGAATTTTTTTATAAGGTTGTAATTTTTCTAAGACTTCATTACCGGGAATTTATATGAGGTAAACAATTTCGAAATTTTCCTTATTCCATTGTT